TTTTTTTTATAATTTTAACTAACTTAAGTGGTTAAAAGTCGAACAATAAAAATGAATGTGGTTTTGGGATTATTAACATGTATAGGTCAGATATTAGCAATGCCGACAACTCATGAGAGTTTTAATAATAAGGTATGTTAAGCCATTGAAGTATACAAATAAAAATAAGATATTTAAAAATTAAACTAGTGTAACAGTTATTAAATCTTTGGATTTTTATTAAATTTTAATCATTTTTTATTGTATAATAATCAATAGTAGAATATTTACACGCATAAAATACTGTTAATATTCTAAATTGAATTCAACTTATACATACAGAGTGATTGAAATATTCTAAAACACTCATTATCTCATAAACTATAGAAAATTTTAAATATTTGTAAAGAGAAAAAACATTTAATTCAAAAAACCTTACAATATTATGTAGTTATGTATATTATTTTATCCCTTTAGAGATAAAAATCCTTAAATTTAATTTTCTTAAATGGAAACCATAATTTTCAACAATCATATAGGAACAATCATACAGGAGGGAGTATAGGTGTAATGTCAATTGAGGATAAGATGAGAGGAAATAGACATAAATGGTTTGGCCATGTTATGAGGGTAGAGGAATCGGAAGCTATAAGAACAGTTATGGAAATTAATGTTGAAGGAAAAGGGGTAGAGGCAGTAGCGACTCGTGACTTGGACGACGGGACGATCGCACCCCCTACAAAAATTAATTAATAGAAGGAAATTAATTGTATATTCTCAATTCTACAATTTTATTAAAAATGCAAACTTTTAAATAGTAAAATAGTTATAATACATTTGTGGTATGCGAACAGTTGTTACCTTCAGTTATACGCATGCGCACACCAGCAGTGTTTGGACGACTGGCAGCGTCGTCCGAACAATATGCAGAAACGTATACTTTTAGACCCAATCGTGTGCGTGCGGGTGCGGTAAGCTGCTACCTTATGTACATGTTTTGGACGACCGGCAGCGTCGGCCATACGGTAAAATATTAGTATATTACTACATTGGGTAATTTATTTTTAGATTAACTACGTGTACGCTTATCGGTGTTATCGGTTGCTATATTAGTATATTTGCTATTATTATTTTCATTTCTATTTTCTACAGCGACCTTTAAAATAGTAATATGTGTATTGCGTTTTATTTTATTATATTTAATTTGAAAATTTTTTATATCTATGTATAGCGGCATTATATTTAAAGTCGCACCCCACCACCAGTAGCCACTGGGTAGAGGAATACCAAAAAAAAAAAAAAAAAGGGAGGGATTTATCATAAAAGAGATTTATGTTTGAATACTAACTTAAAAGAATTGATAGAAGATTGGATACTCTAGATGTAATAAAAAAATGTAACTTATTAATGTTTATAAATACTCGTTTTTCAATCAGTAACTTCAAAAATGAGGTAATAGAGAAAATCTAATTTCAGACTTGAAATTAAATTAAAAAATGGGTTTAGTAAAGTATATTTAATATAATCATATGATTTTACTGTGTAATTCAGTGTAAAAACAAATTTTATACTCCTATTGATTTTTAGCTTCGATGCGAAGCTGAGACGGTATTAATTTTACCATGATGTGTTTATTTATTTTTTTCACTATTTTTTCTCAGCTCTCTCTCGACCGATTTTTCTCAACATTACGCCAAAAGATCACAAATTTATCTTCTATGTAAAAATGGTTGCCGTAGATAAAAAACATGCAATTTTAGTGTTAAAATTTACGATTTCATATTTTATTTTTTCAACTTTAAATTACTATAACTCTTTGAAAAATGTATGAATCAATACAAATATTACTAGGATTTAAAACAGTAACTTTTGCACACAAATTAAACTTTTTAAACTTAATTTTTGAAATAGCTCCTGAATTTCTCCGACCTTGAAACATTTGGTTAATTGAAGTTTATGTTATATACTATGAGTTATAGAAAAAAAATTGGCTTGATGACTTTATTCTATATGTAAATGTACTCCAAATTTAGACAAAAAATATTATTTTGATATACAACTGAAATATTGAAATATTCTGTACAGTTATATCGTATAGTTATATTCTATAATATATTAATATTCAGAAATATTCCGGGCTAAGTTTCACTTATGGTTTTGTCTGCTAATGTGTAAAAATTGGTTTAGAATCAGTATATTTTTGTCACTGATTAAAATTTTTTATAGACCAGAGGTTATTTTAAATTATCTTTGGAAAAGTTTTTCATCAATCACTTAAATTTTTATAGATCTTTTTCACAAAAGTAATGAAATATACANCAATTTGTATAGATATTTTTCACAAAAGTAATGAAATATACAACTACTTTATAATTTTTTATAATTTCTTCATAAAATGTACAATAATAAATTATTGAACATCAATTTCATACTAAGATTAATTATTATAATTAAAACTCAAAATTACCTAGTATTTATTTATATACTATACTTATAAATTGTAAAACTTGTAATCGGTATATAAATAAGGTAATAGGGTTTTTTTTTTTTTTTTTGTATAATCCATCGATTTTTTAAAATTAAACAGTATTGTCAGATTTGCATCGAAGCATTTCTTATGATAGTGACTTTAATCACTGTAAGTTATTATCTTTGCTTGTTCCAACGGGCGTTCATCGTTTCCGCCAAACCGATAGTTTATACCTATCTACAAATCGAAGCTTGAGAACCACTGGATTCAATATTTTCAAAAGTAACCCGATAATAATTATCTACTTTTTACATTTAATCGAACTTTTTTCTATTCTATTATTGTTAGTTAGATAACAAGGCATTTATAATCGGTATATCGATAAATATTTTGCCATCCATTCTTTTTTATTTTACTTTTTTAATTAAAATGTCATTTGATTATATCAGAAGTAAGCGGATACCAATAAATGATTTTATTGAATAACTTTAAGTTTCGTTTTGCATATAAAGCAATACAAACGGGTAACATACGTTGGTGTTGTTTTGTAAAAGAATGCAAAGGTATCATTCATGTCAATGAGCTTGATAAAATTATTGATCAAACAGGTATTTATTAAATTTTTAATAAAATCGATTAAAGTTGATCTTATTTTAAATTAATTTAAATGTCTTATAAAACATACATGTAATGTCCCTTGTTCTGATCTCATAATTATGAGACAAAAATTAGCAGTTGCTTGTAAACGCGATGCTGTAGACGATATTTGTCTAACACCGCAAAAAATAATTTAAGGGGATATTCAATCATTAAGTAATAGTAATTTTACGGCAACGGTTGTATCATGTATTCGCCAATATTTACTACTAATCCAGCATCTATTAGTGAATGACATGTAATTATTGATGATAACATAGAAATATTAACTTAATGGTGCGGAGAACAATTTTTATTACAAACGATCAAGAGAAAAATATTTTCTTGTTTCTTGTTTTTAAATTATTTTTTCTTGTGATAAAAACCTCAAATTTCTTTGTAATTCTAAATCAATATATGTTAACAGAACTTTTCTGTATTACCCAAAATATTTTGAACAATTATTTACTATACACGAATATATAAACAATTACTATGAATCACTTGTTTGTTGTTTATTAAAAAATAAATTTATAGAAACTTATAAAAAAGCTTTTGAGGTTATAAAATATAAATGCACTGAATAAAATTTATTGCTGTATCATGATAATATTACTGTCGATTTTGAAGTTTCTATTCACATTTTAATGAACAATTTTATCTTTCTATTAATATATTTTTATAAATTTTAATAGAAAATCTTTATAACTATATTAAAATATATGGTTCTAATAATACAGTCTCAAAAAGCGTACGGATTAAAATTGAAATCTGTTTCTAAAACAAAAGAGGCAATTGAAAAATTAAATAAAAATAAAATTAGCCGATTTGAATGTATGAAATTAGTTTCCAACAACTATTGAAAAATGTATAGATCATAGATCTATTTTTTATTTTATTATTACACGTATTAGATATTTTTTAAGCTTATTATTAATATTTGAATTTTGTTTCAATGTTTTGATGACTTTTTATTTTCTTATAAACTATATTTTTATTATTTATTACAAAACTATATATACTTAAGACAGTTATCTATTATGATTTATTTACCTTTGGTAAAACGTCATATTTTGTTTATAAAAGTGTACCTATGTGATAAAATAAGTAATTATTGAAAATGACGTGATGGTGGAGGGAAAAAAATATTGTAAAAAATTACTTCATTTTGCTTATTAATATTAATACCCCACGCAAAAATCTTAAATACAGACCTGAACGTAACTATGAATTTTTTAACAAATTAATGTCAAAAATTTTGATACAGGCAGCTGCCTACCATAAAGCTAAATGGTTCTTAAATTTTTTAGTAGATAGACGGGTAGAAGGTTAGTTTGACGTAAACGAAAATCTCCCGTCTCAACTATTGCACGTCCCCACTGTGCTACCGCTTTACAAAATTAAAATGTTTTAATTCTACCTAAAAATTAACAAAAAAAAAATAAATGTTGATAACCTTTGTCCTTTGTTTCTAATTTATTGCAAAAGACAATTAAAAATTCTCAAGTTGATTTTATAGGATATATTATTAAATAGAAATTATAGAACAATGTTAATTATAGAACAGCAGGCACGTATTCAGAATCAATTTTCGGGGGGGTTAAATTTTTAATACATAATAAGTAATATTAATGCATATTACAAAAAAGTACATAATTATATAATTATAAAATGAAAATATTTTGCAGTACTAAATATATAATAATTAAAAATTTTATTACAATGAAACTAATGAAAAAAAAAATTTTAATCATAGAACAAAGTCAACCACCTTACGTGGCATTTTGGAAAATGTATTGATAATTTCTTCAATATTTAGTGGAATGTTTCGGTGGACTGATAATAAAGCTAAACCTGTTAGACGATCTTCATCGCAGTTATTCCTCAAAGATGTTTTTAATCGTCTCAAAGTTGAAAATGAACGTTCTGCTGAAGAAGTCAACACTGGGAGTGTTGCAAGTATTGATATTAAACACCAAATGTTTGGATAAAGATCTTTTGACATAACGTCTAAAGTATCGATTGCTAATTTCGGTAATTCTTTATTTGGTACAGCTTTCCATTTTTCCATCCAGACCTTCAATTCTGATTCAAATGTTTTATAAGTAGGTAATTATGTTTTATAAATCTTTCAATTAATTGACTTTTGAAGAAGTTTAAAAATGGCCAAAAAATTGATGTCCTATAATGTTGTTCCGGTGAATCAGCCAACAGAGTATTATAAAAATATATAGAATGCATAATTACTTGTGGCATTTTAAATGTTTCGTCTACCAAACTTAATACGTTTTCTACTTCTAAAAATAATTTGTGGAATTCTACCTCACTATTTTCACGAGTAGGATGAATAACTTGAACACAGTTTTTGACATATTCACAACACTCAAATAAATCTACATTTATTTTTTGTTGAGATTTACATAGAGGCAATGTTATATTGAATAATTTGTCTGTAACGTACAATGAAATTACAAATGAACTTGAGGTAATAGTTTTTGAAAGTTGAAATGCAAGTTGTGATATTTCTAAATTATAATAATGTTCGAGTTCCCTTAATGTGTTTGTTATTGGTAAATATAGTTCCTTAAATCGTAATAAGCTGTCATGGCGTTCAACCCAGCGGGTTTCACACATTTTTAAAAGCGTTTCGTGACTTGTGCCTGGAATTAAGTCTTTAATAAATTCATAAGAACTTCTGACCTTATTAGAGATTTTAGAAAGAATGAAGCAATAGAAATTATAGATCCAATACAATTTCTAATCTCGGGAATATTGCACGATTTACTTATGGCGAGGTTCAACGAATGGGTGGCACAATGAACGTATAAAGCTTGAGGTAATATATCACATATATTTTTTTGAACTCCATTATATATACCACTAATTATAGAAGTTCTATTCTAACCTTGACCCACTAAAAGTTCTTTTTTTAAATCTAATTAATCTATTTCACGTATTATTGTGTGAGCTAATCCTTTTCCTGATGCGTCGTAAATAGGATCAAAAGTTAAAAAATCTTCCCTAATACGATCTTCAATGTACCGTACACACAGTGACATTTGTTCTATTCGTGATATATCGCAAGTTTCGTCAGCTAAAATTGAAAAAAACCCGCATTTTTAACTTTGGTTACTATCTGAGTCTGAATGAATGTACCACAAATATTTATTAACTGGTTTTGTATAATAGGGCTTACGTGCACAGCATTTTCTGTCACATTTTCTAAATGAGTTTTTAGATTAAGATCTCCAGATTGCACTCTAAATCTTAACAAAGATCTAAAATTTCCATTATTGTTATCAGCACTAGAGCTAAGAATATGTCCACATTCATTATCTCCCCTTGATGCCAATTCTTGATGATCACAAAAAATAATTTTAGTTTCGATAATTGGGAACAGTTTAACACGATTTTCTAGATCTAAGTTTTTATGAGCTGAATCGATAGCTATAGAAATATCGGGTTTTTTACAATTCATTACTTTTAAAAATTCATCCATACGTAAAATAGACAATTTATGGTATTCTGCATTAGAATGCAATTTAAGACATTCTACAGCAAGTTTCCGTTTAATAAAAGGTTTACTTACTAAAGCTCCCACTTTTTGATTAGAACCTTTTCCGATGCATTCATTAGAAAATAATACACATATTTTTCATAATGCTCCTTCTAATTTCTGAGAATAAGTTAACCAATGAAACCGTGTTAACCAAGACATTTGGAATTTCTATTTTCTTTTTGACACCACCGAAAAATTATAATTTGTTGAAGGCACCCATGGATTTTTTATTAATTCGTACTTAAATTTATCATCAGTTATTCTATCATCTACATACCATCCAATATCTCGAAGTTCTAGTATTCTTCTGGTAGTTCTGGTGGTTTTGTAATAGAAGTAACTAAATCTGAATTTAATTGATGGTTTTTCTTATGAAAAAAATTAAAAATTGATGACTGAGATGGCATATTTTGTTTTATTTTTTAAGAAATGTATAGGATAAAATATTAATACAAAATACCTATGCTGTTAACAGATACACAGTGAAAATAATACAAGATCGAATGAATTATTAATCATATATGTTAACAAAATACTTCTGAAAATATGACTAAACGGGCAAAAAACCAGTGAATTATTGTAGTTATAAACTGATAAAGTCCATCTTCCGATTATTGGACTCAGATAAGATAATGTCTGTCATTTTTTAAAATTTAAAATAATGTCAGACTAATGGGCAATTGGGAAATGTACAAATGCTTAAAATTTTAATACAAACTGTAGATGTACAATTTTATATAAAGCTTGTTGTTTGTTATATTATAATGAATAAACATTCTTTTAAAATTTCGGGAGAGGGGTTTGAGCCCATAAAACCCCCCTGTATACGGCCCTGTAGAACAGCATTTATTCTTTTAAAGATTAGCGTGAGACATATCAATAGGCCTGTAGTATCTTTATTCAATCATTTAATTAAGTGTTTCTAAATTGTATTATCTTATTTTAAGAAAAAATGGTTTCATTCATATTTTTCATTTTTAATTAGATTATTATTTGTCAATAATTAAAGAATTTTGAAAATTCCAGAATCTTGTTCATGCTATACTTAGATTTCAAGAGGTAATTATTAAAAAATTATATTCTATTTTATTCAATGCAATTTTTTTTTCGTATTATTAATGTGTATTTAATAATATAAACATTGTTTTATAAATATTTTAAAATAATCGTATTTTATAGACATTTATCTAACTAATGTAATCCTTTATAATATACAACTTTTTATTTGACTATTTTAGAGCCGTCATCCAAGAACAGATGAGCTAGTTAAAAGGATGAGTAATTTTTTGTCGTTTTTTGATCAGAATAAAAGCGGTAAAATAAGTCTTAAAGTTTTTTTAGCTCTTGCAAGGTATTTAGGTCAAGACACAACACACTTGTCAAAATCTGGATTAAGTAGTAATAAAAATATTTTGATTTTCTCTAGTTTAATTTATACTCATTTCATACTTACTCAGAGTAATTATGAATTGAATGAGGTTAGAATAAGTTACTCTAACCTAATTTAATGATGTTTATGCATTTTCATACGGATGCATTATATCCAAAAAATGAATAGGTGTATTAATATGATTTGAACCCCTTTAAATTTATTTATATATATACATTTTCATTAGTAAGATTCTTCTTAGGTATAAAAGAATATTTGAAGTTCAAAAATGTATTCGTATCATTTTAGTGGATTCAATGATTAATATTAACACTCTCGTAGAGATGACTACTTATCCAATGAAAATGGTAGAAGAAAAGTTGTTAGAGAGTTTTAGACAATTTGACACAGAAATAAGTGGTTACATCAGTTTACCTCACATGCGTAGCTCATTAAATAGTGTCGGAATTGATGATAAGTATATATCAATTATACTTTTGAAGCTTGATTTTACAGACGAAAAACAAAAAATTAATTATTCAGGTAATTATGTAACTTGAAGTACAGTAATAGCATAGATAAAGTACATTTCATTAAATCTTAATTCCATAGGTAGAGAGAAACAAATAATTTATGTGTTGTATAAATAGCATATTTAGAAAAATAAAGTGAATATATCACAAGAGAAAAAATTGAAGAGCTCAGTGTGTTAGCTAAGTAAGTGGATTCTATTCAGAAAATCATTTTTCGTTAGTTTTAATCTAAAATAATTTCTGCATATTTGAGTGAAAAAATTCTGTTATTTATAAGTTATTCGAGAGAATATATAATCATGAAAAATCATTCTACTATTGCTATTATAGGTAAGTATTTCAGAAAATATTTTTTTCTAAAGAAAGTCAAAATGTGAACCTAACTGGTTGTTGCACTGAGCTCTACAATTGATTGTTTTGAATATATATTGTTCATATTTTTTGTATTTTAATAAAATGTTTTATAAAATTTTCAGACTTTTTGGATTTGCTGATAACTTTTTAAGAATTTTTGAAGATTTGGTTCTAATTTTAAGCTTACAAGTTGATAATATAATATTTTTTTTAAATAATTTGATGGTTAAATATATAATTAGAGTCATATTTATATGATTATAACAATTATTGTTTTTATATGTTATTTTAAATTATAAATAAAGATAGTAAAAATTTGTTTAACTTAAGCGTCAATGTGTTGCTGAGAGAATATTGGTTTTACAAAGTCATGCTTTTTTTGTTCATTCATATGAATACATTACTTCTATAGGATTAATTTTGCCCAACTATACGGCAAAATACAAAAGATCGCATCTATCTGAAGCAATAATTCAGAAAAATTCTCCCCCATTTCTATAATAAAAGGAAATGTCCTAAAAAATACTATTGTTATAAAATAGTTACTATTTATATTTTCAGTTTGTATTTTATATTGAAGTATCTTTTTGAAAACTAGACAGATTATCATGAAATATTATTGACAATATTTTAGACATTTATCATGTTGACGACATACTTTTTATGGAAATCCAAACATTAACCCAATTACTGAGCGGGGTATTTCTGCATCATGTTATCATGTTATCATGTTATCATTTTTTCTTTTTATTATTTTGTTAATGTTCAACAAACATGCGTCCTTTAAACTTATGACCAATTAAAGTAATATAATATAATAAAGCGATAATCTATAAATAATTGTTATTAACGTACAGTACATGTCAATTAAATTTGATTACAAGTATTATTTGAAATGCTTACAGTTTAAATATATTTTTCGAAAAAACATAATTATTTTACTATATTTTAAATTGTTCGAAATAAGCTAAATTGTTCTATTTATAAGAAATTAATTTAACAATAGAAATTATTTTTGGCTTTAAGCTTGTATTATATTGTTAGTACTACACTTTCATTGCTGCTGCAATTAAATCATCATTAAATATGGATTTTTACTATTGTTTTGGAATACTACTTTGTTTTATATGTTTTGGTATTACCATATCGATTTTTTCATCAGAAAAACACCGCTTTCCTAAAGGAATCACTTACAATGAGTTAAAGAAGTATTTATAATATTTATTATTAGTTATTACAATAAGTACTATTATTTAGTGGCTTGAGTGCCTTTTTTTATACATATAATTATCATTAAAAATCTGCTTAAAAATATGTTATACTTGTAACAGTTATATATGGTCTTAAATATAATTCAATTTCATATCAAACTCCTCATATAATGAACGTTTTGTAATTTTTGTACATTATCACTCGCATAATATTGAATTGGTGGAATAACAAGTTCCCTTTAGCTAATCTTCCAAATTCCAATTAGTCGCTAATCTATTAAAAGTTAAAAACCAATAAATGAACATGTTTTTTTCTCATTTAATTGAAACCTTTTCGCGTCCTCGTTGTAAGTGTTATATGTATATCATAAATGTATGTAAAACTTGTTCTTCTATACTGAAACTATTCGACTTATATATTATATGAAATATCTTAAATAACTTGTATAATAAAAAGGTAATGTAAGTGACAATCAATAAAACTTAAAGACGCCTCTATTTTAGTATTCAATTTTGTGTAGTAAAGTATGTTTGATAGGAAATTGTTTACAGTTTTTAAAATTGTCAACTTTTTAAAGTAATCGTGTTCATAACTAAAATAAAAGTTTCGTTATATGATCAAAAAGCAATAAAAACAATTTTAGTAATTTAATTAGCAATTAATTATTTAAAATCAAAAAAAAAAAATTTTAATTTTTAAAGAATAAATATTTTACAATTTTTTTATTCAATGATCGTTGTTTTAATCTAAAGCTAAGCATATTAAGTGGCATGCGTAAAAATATATGTATAGAAAAAGTATGTAGAATAAAAAATAGAGTATGTAGAAATATATTTTTTCATATTATTATGCAAAAAATTGTCTTATTTCATAAAAGCTTGAAATAAGGAATTTATGGCTAATCCGAGTAAATAAAATGAAGTCTCTCAGACTAATAACAAGTATCAACTTTATTTTATTAAATGATAACGTCCATTTTTAATTAGCGTTTAAAATAGGAAATTATCAAATTATAAAATGACTTATTGAAACCAAAATTTGAACGAATAATATGTAAATTTATATTAAGGGAGGCGCACGCTGCCAAAAAATTCTCATGATAAAAATATTTGTACCTGCGTTTCACTTCAGTTTTGATTTAAAAATTTTAATAACTTTGTACTGATCCAAAATTTGTTATGAATCCCTATTTTCTTAAATTTACCATTTTCTATAATTTAAGATTTCTGGGGGGACTGAATATACCCGTGGTAGTCCATGCTCGTTACAAGAGAAGACTAAAATGGAATGACAATCCTTGAACATGGAATGACAACAATGAATAGCAGCATTGTTTACATAAAATTTTCATTCCATAGAAATGAAAAGTGACAATTCAATATAGACGGCAAAAAGAAGCCACTGCATTACTATTCCCAACATTCAACATACACTTGAAGAATGGTTGCAGCGTCAAGTCGAAGTCTTTAGATAATAAAAATTAATATAAGTCAATTTAACTTATGTGTTGTCATTAAGGAATAGACAAAAAATGTTTTCGATAATTGATAAATTGAGAATTATATAAGGTGATTGCCCAACAATGATTCACGCAATATCTTAAAAAATACAAAATATTATATTCTTTTTTCATTTTAAAGATTTATTAAACTTTACCTATTACTAATTAAAGAAAAAAAAAATTAGTTCTCTTCTTACCACTTCAACGGATATCTTAAACTTTTGATTTTTAAATAACAACAAATAAATATCAGGCTCATAACACAATACTAAAGCTATGATTAAAATAGATAAACATTTTCATGATGGAGTATTGTAAGCCATAGAATTATACATTAGCGAAAACAACACAAAATTGGAAAGAGTACTAACAACAGTTCAATATTTTTCTAATAGCATCAGATGTAATGAAAAAATTTAGTTACTTCACAAGAAGTAAAAATATCTAATAACTTTAAGAAAAATCTTCTTTTGTTACTCTTGTTAAGAGTAGACTTTTATTTTGTAAATTGTTTGAACGCTATTAAACAGTACTATGAAATTAGGAACTATATAACTTTCCAATAGTACAAACTTGGTTGTGTCGTATATTCCAGTATACTCAATTAAATACAATTATAAATTAATACTAACTCTTCACTATTAAGCATTATTTAAACAGTATTAAATAACACTCTTCTCAATATAAGTAATTTTTAAAGGATTGCTAAAGCACAAATTCAAGGTACTCCTTGTATCATCATTTAAGAAGGTGATTCTTTTAACGATAGACATTTGATTTTTCTTAAAAATATAATTATTTTTGTTATATATTTCTTAATTTATCAATTATTAATACGATTTTGTTACTTCCTATATACTTAATAAGTGTAGTTTTTTAAATTAAAATATACATATTGAACTAGCTTATAAAATAAAATCTAATTAAATGGCCTATTACAACTTTTGACCCATTATTTTAGAAGTTACTACCATTTTAAAATATAGACTGGAGCTGAATGCAGCTACTTTTATCATAAAACATTTTTCGATCTCACCTAACCTGCCGCTTAGGTATAAAAGTTTTAATAAGTAACTTCTGAAATATTGGTCTAAAAGTTGTTATCAAACAGTAGTTTTTTAAATTAGATTATTATCTAATAAATAACTTAATTATGTATGTTTCCGTTTAATAACAAAAGTTAATATCCTTATCAAGTATGAGGGGTGAATAATTAATTAAATTTATTATTTAAAAGTAACTACTAAGTGATAAATTAGAATATATATAAGAATAAAAATTATGAAAAAAAATAGATTTTTTTTAACGTTAAAAGAATCATACTATATACAAGGCCATTAGTTAAGATTATAACAACAATTTTTTTGGAAAACATTTAAAATTTTTTTAGGGAAATTATTGTTTGATTCAAAAAACTCTGTAATAGTAAATATAATTATAATTTTTTTTCATCCATTCAGGAATAAGAAATCCAAAATTAAAGTTTCATTAATATTTAAACCCTTTTTTTTTAGTTTGATAGAAAAAAAAATATTTAAAGATTGTATTCCTATAACTTCTTTTATCCGATCAACCATTAGTGTTTTAAAATTGCTTAATTGGAATTTAAATAAAAACTTATCATTAATTTAGTTTCCATTATACAGAATGCATAATAATTCAATATAATATGAACCATAAATGATTTATAAAGTAATTATCAAGAAAAATTTTCCATATCGGTCATTTAACAATATACGATAGAAAACTTGTGTTGAATATTAAAGTATTTTATTATATAATAGAACAAGTAAGAATAACGCTTTCCTGGTAAAATTACTTAATATGCACTAATTTGTAATTTTTTTTTCAATTAAACCACTTGGTCACATGATTTTGCAAAAATTATTGCCGTGTGTCAGAAATTTGGCCACTTTCGATAAAAACGCTCGCTGACGTCGACATTTTGCGACTTGAGGTCTGAAATTTTCATTAAATCCGCTCAGACACATCTGAGTTATGATATAAAAAAAATGTTTAGTCCCTTAATTTTTAACGTTCTGTGAGCTTTTATTTTTTTAATCGCTGGGGACATCAGGCCACGCCATCTGCATTTTAAGCCATGAAAACGATTTTTTTACAATACTATCTTAATGGTCTTACAATTATGTAAATTGTAAGACCATTAAGATACATGTAGTACGAGGAAGGTAGAAAAATTTTTTTTTTTTTTAAATCAACGCACATATATTTATTTTGCCTTATTATAATTACGCATGTATATGTTTAAGGTGTTATTCCTTACATTCTTATTTTGTGAATTCTAATAAATTTAATAGTAATATATCGTACTAAATCATTTTTTTTTTATAATATTGAACTATTTGTGAATTTAACTTTAATCATTGATATAATTTTCATCTACGAATTTTTTTTTCATAAATCTCAGTTACAGTTTTGTTTTCTGAAAATAGTTTATTTAGTTATTAGTGGCATTTTCGAGTAAATAAATACAATTAAAAATATACCGATTTGTTAATTTGAATTTATAGATATTTTACAAAATTAAGTGTTATTTTTAATACATATTATTGGGTCTTAGAGATAAATTCACATTAATCAAAATCTATTTTTTAATATTACTATGAAAAAACAAATTTTGTTTGAGCATGCTATCATTATATTCATAAATTTGTATTGATAAATGAATATAAAAGTACAAAAAATTTATATACATGAACACAATCGTCATATTGTAAGATATCTAAAAATAATAATAAATAGAGGACCTAAAAAAAATATGTACAATTTGCCATAGGCGCTTATGGCACGGCGCACTTTAATCAACGCTGGCCCAAAACATTATAAGTAAATATACTCATTACCAGGCCCGAAGGGCTAAGAACAAAAGGCTGGTTCGACCGACGCCACGAAAAACTAAACAATTTACATAGCTACAATGTAGCAGACACTCGTTAAAAAAATATATANTAGACACTCGTTAAAAAA